GAAAGAGCAACAAAAAAGAAAGGAAGGGAGAAGGAACAACAGAAAGAAAGAAAAAAAAAAGGAAGGGAGAAAGAGCGAGGCAGAGAAAAGAGAGATATTAAAGAAGTTGTTATAAATGGTAATAATTAAAGAGTATGTTTAAAATAAGTAATTATTTTTTAAAAGAAATTCACTCAAGTAATTAATCATTTCTTTAATGTCCTATATCATTTGACCCATATATTGAAAAGTTAATAGGGTTTAATATATTTTTTCCTTTTTACTCATCGTACCAAATTCTTACGACGTCTGACTCAAACTCCGAAGGAGAGGAAAACAAAAGAACCGATGAGCGCTCAGGTACTTTTTAATGAAAGGTCCCATATTTGTATATGTGTGATAAATTGTTGGTAAAATATATAAGTTATTAATATTATTATATTATTATATTAGTTGGGTGAGGGAATTGAATTGCGTGTTGCTGCAATATTGAATTTTTAGGGTTGGGGCGTTATTTTCTAAGGAAAAAATTGGATACGTTAAAGGGGAAAATTATAAAGTAATGATGACAAATTTTAACTTCAGCCTTTTCCTTTGATAAATGTTTATTTTGTTCCCAAAATCAATCTGTATCCTCGTATCAACTTTAAATACTTGGCTATTATTTCCTCTTAAGGTAATTTGTCTTCACGAAAAGAATCTTTCTACAAGTTTATTTAAAGCACGGGTTCAATAACTTTTTATCTAAAATTGTTCACTTATATTGGAATGCTAGTATTAGTATATTGGACGGAATATTATTAATTTAGGATGTGGATATTAGGATAACATAATACTGTTAAATTTATAATATTGAAGAAATTGAAACTCAATCCTAGACTTGAAATTTGGAAAATATGAGAGTTGACATGTTAATTGGCATCAAGATTAAGAATTTGATTATAGATTTGGGTGAGTTTTTGGTCTAGTCTAGACATATAGTAATATGAGTGTTGTTAGTTTCGAAATCTTATTGTGATTATTTATTTGAATAGATTGCATTGATTTGGAAGCCGAACGAAAAGGGAAGGCTCAAGTCCTAAAGTGATTGTTTGATTATTGAGACAAGTGGATTTCTAAATCTTTGTTAAGTGCATAGAGTCGTGTATTTCCTTGTGATATGTGTTGGGGAGTAATGGGACTTGGTGATAGGTTGACTTGTCCATGTTGAATAATTCTAACGATGAAAAAGGGGTAATATAAGGCAATGTGATTTATTGTTGGTGTGTGATGTGTTAAGAATGATTTTGAAAGGCTTATTGATTCATTGTTGGTGTTGTATCACGATTGTGTTGTTGTGAATTGTGCAATGTTATGAAAATGGTCATCTCTTCATTACTGTGAACATGTTATTTGCATTGTTTTGATACATGATTGTGACAAGTGTTATGCGAATTGAGAAAGAATAAGAAATTAAAGAGGATGTACCATTTCGAGGGACATGTCGCGCGCCGCAACGGATACTATATATCGAGGGACATATCGCACACCGCGATGGATACTATTATCGAGGGATGTGTCGCACGCCTAGACGGATGCATGGATAGATATGTCCCCCATGGGTCCCTGACTGAGAGGCATTGGGTGTGTATCGTTTGGTCAGACATGCATCACTATACTTGACATTGCATTGCACATTTTTATCATTGATGTACTTGATCTTGTGTGTTGTTGATATTGTGAGTGCCTTTCTGTGGAAGTTGTGATTGATAAATATTGAGTTTGTTGTTGAGGATATGTAATTGTTAGAGTGTTGTTGTTAAGTTGTGTGCTATGTAAACTGTGAACTGTTCGGTTGGGGGTTTTATTAGAGGCTTGTACACGTGACAATCAGGTTTTGAGGGTTTTATTAAGTTACTTATATTTTATTTCTGCACTTTATCGTAATGATTGAGTTTTAGGCTGACTTGTCTTGGTGGGATAAGACGAGTGTCGTCACGTCCATTTTTGGGTCGTGACAGCAATGTACAAATGCTTGTGCATTAAATGAAATCAAATTCAAGATCAGTTCATACACATGGTGGAATGGCAAAATTGAGGAAGTCAGTATTTTCAAAAGACTTGATAGGGTATTTGGTAACAAAGAATTGATGAGATTAATACCTAACAGTGAGGTACATCATCTAATAAGACAAGGGTCAGATCATGCTCCCCTACATGTGATTGGTAACAGTTTACAAGACATGGTGACAAAACCTTTTAGGTTTTTAAACTTTTGGACCAAGCACAATGAATTTAAAAAGGTTGTGGAAGATAACTGGAATGGGGAAGAGATTAATGGGATTCCTTTCACAGTGATTCATAGTAAGATGAAGAGAATTAAGTTTGTACTAACAGCACAGTGGAGTAGAAGAACCTTTGGGGATATTTTCAGAGAATTGCCACCTTAGAAGACACCATTAAAGTTATGGAAATACAAATGGAGATTACACCAACAGTAGAAAACAGAGCCTTGCTTCATAAGGCAGAAGCTGAGTTAAAAAAAATATAGACATATAGAGGAGGAGTTTTGGAGGCAAAAGGCAGGAATTAAGTGATTTAAAGGAGGAGATAGAAATATCAAGTTCTTTCATGCTTATGTAAAAGGGAAGAGGAGAGAAATACAAGTTGTGTATATTCTTACCAACCAGGGGGACATAATCTCTACTACACGAAATATAGGGGAAGAAGCAATAAATGTCTTTAGGGAGCAGTTCAGGGAGAATCAAGAGACCACCAACTATGATATGCTGGAACACATTCCTACTCTAATAAATGAGGAACAAAATGTTGATATGGGAAGAATGTCTACAGAAAATGAGGTCAGAATGGTGATTTTTACTCTAAATGGGGAGAGTGCTAGTGGGTCAGATGGTTTTTCATGCAAGTTTTTTTAGAGCAGCTAGGATATTGTTGATAATAATGTGACTAATATGGTGAAGGATTTTTTCTGTGGACAAGACCTACCCAGGTACATTACACATACCAATTTGGTGTTCATACCAAAGAAGGAGGTGGTAGTATCTTATGGGAACCTTAGGCCAGTAAGTCTAAGTAATTTTGTCAATAAAATACTTTCAAGAATCAGTCATGAAAGAATAGTGACAGTGCTCCAGGAATTATTTCAGCGAATCAATCAGGTTTTGTCAAAGAAAGAAGCATAACAGATAATGTGTTACTGTCCCAAGAGATAGTAAGAGACATAAACAGGAGAAATAAACTTAATGTGGTGGTAAAGTTAATATGGCAAAGGCATATGATAGGGTATCTTGGAAATATTTGGTGAGAGTGATAAGAAAATTTGGATTTTCTGAAAGAATTATAGATATGGTAGTAAGACTGATTAGAAATAATTAGTATTCAGTCTTAATGAATGGATAGTCATTTGGTTTCTTTTAGTCTTTCAGAGGGATAAAATAAGGAGACCCATTATCCCCGACTCTATTCATTATTGCAGCTGAGGTACTGGCAAGAGGACTCAACAGTTTGTATGAAGATTCAAATTTCAAAAATTTTGGGATGTCTAAATGGAGCCCTGAAATCAATCATTTATCGTATGCAGATGATAGTATACTCTTTTGTTCAAGGAAATCATCCTCAACTAGAAAGATGATGCAAATTCTAAGGAAATATGAGCTGGTTTCAGGACAAATGATTAACCTGAACAAAAATCTGGTCTACTTAGATGAAAAAGTTTCTATAGGAGTTTGTAGTAGGATAAAAAGACTCACTGGAATTAGACAAGGGTCTTTCCCTTTCATCTATTTGGGATGCCACATTTTTTATGGAAGGAAAAATAAATCACACTTTGAGAATTTAGTAAAGAAGGTAATGAAAAGATTAATCTCCTGACAAAACAAGCTCTTGTCCTTTCGTGGAAGATACATTCTGATAGCCCATGTATTGCAAACAATGCTCGTCTATTTATTGTCTTCCATGAAACCCCCCCCCCCCCCCCCCAAAGTGTAATTGATCAGTTGTATAAAAATTTGCAAGATTTTTCTAGGGTAATGCAACTGGAGCCAGAAACAAACATTGGGTATCATGGGATAATATGTGTTACCCAAAGGAGGAAGGAGGTTTGGGTTTCAGGTCATTACATGACATGTCCAAAGCTCTATTTGCAAAGCTATGGTAGAACTTTAGAACAACTACATCCTCTCCCTGAGAAAGTTACATGTTGAATAAATACTGCAAAAAACTTCATCCAATTTTGGCTAAAGGACAAGGAACATCACATGTGTGGAGAAAGATGACTGTTATTAGGGAAGAGGTAGAGCATAACATTTGGTGGAAGCTAAAGGATGGCAACTCTACTTTCTGGTTTGATAACTGGACCAAACAAGGAGCACTCTATTAAGTAGAATGAGATACTGCAGTAAATGAAGAACTGGAGGTAAGGTCTTTCAGTATATATGGAACCTAGGACATAGAAGGTCTGAGGAGGGTATTGTCTGAAGAGATGGTTGTATATATTGTGAATCATATTAAGCCTCCAGAAGATAACCACAACAATGATGTGACTTGGTGGATGGGTAATTCACAAGGATTATTCACAGTCAACTCGGCCTGGAATTTAGTGAGGCACAGAAAAGAAAGAAGAAGGGACTTTGATTTCATATGGACAAAAGGATTGCCATTGAAAATCAATTTCTTTGTTTGGAGGCTATGGCTCAGTAGAATTTCCACAGATGAAACTCTGGAAAAAATGAAAATTCAGATTGTATCACGATGTTGGTGTTGTGAAGTAAAGGCAGAAAAAACTATGATACATGTTTTCCTAACAGCCCTCATAGCCAAGAGGTTGTGGAGGCAGTTTGCTATTTTTGCAAATATAAATATGAAGGACATGCACTTACAACAACTTATTATTCAATGGTGGAGTCTAGATGCCAATCCTAAACTTCAACTACTATATAGAGCAGTCCCAGCAGTCATTATATGGACAATATGAAAAAAGAGAAACAATTTGAAACATGAAAGACTATTACATTTGAAAACATATGGAGCAAATAGAGGAGATGTTGATGAAGCTAGTAAGAGGAGTGTATCCTTGGATAAGAGCAGAAAAAGCAAATTGGCCACACCTAATAGCAAAATTGCAGAACTATAAGCCCAAGATATATCACTACAATGTAGTTTGGCAAAGGCCAGAGAGAGACAAAGTAAAATACAACACAGATGGTGCAAGTAAAGGTAACCCTGGAGATAGTTCCTTTGGATTTTGCATTAGAAATCATGAAGGTAACTTACTGTATGCAAAGGCAAAAAGAATTGGAGTGACAACAAACACAAAGGTTGAATCAATGGCAATCTTGGAGGCTTTGCAGTACTGCATGGGGAAGGAACTAATGGGAGTTATAGTTGGAAATAGATTCTTTGAGCCTAAAAAAATGATTGAAAAACAGTGGAAGGTACCATGGGAGATGGTAGAAAGGATTGAGGAAATAAAAGTTCTTGTACACAAGCTACAAGCTACATTAACTCATACATTTAGAGAAGGAAATTGTGTAGCAGACTCTTTAGCAAATGAGGTGGTGGAATCACAAACCACAAAGGATTTCAGGAGCTACCAAGTTCAATCAGAAGACATATTAATTTAGATAAAGCACAGGTACCAAACATCATATTCAAGAAAAGAAGAATCATAACACCAACATGTTGATAATGAGGAAGAAAAGCATAAACAGTCAAGAACAAGGGAAGCATAGATACAACAGTGTAAGAATAACATTGAACAAGAACAGTAAACATCGAGAAAGTGACAAGAGAAAGACTAATTACATATGCATTAAAGAGGGTTAGGACTATAATTTCCAGCTATCAAACGCTCCATCAAGTCGGATCGCGGAGCTTTAGAGCTATACAACACACAATGAAGCGAAATAGAGAGGGCGGGCTCAATGACTTACAAGATTAGAGATAGCAGAGCAAATACTAACGGTCAATTGAAAAGAACCCCGACCATCTGAGGAGAAAAGAGAAAAAGGAAGATATATATCAACAATATATAGGATAGAAACGACAAGGAAAAAGAGGATTGAGTCGTACCAGGAGCTAGAGAAGTAGATCAGCAATGCCAGTGCAGCCATGAGAGAAGAGTCTTTAAATTCAATGAAGAGAGAGTAAGCTTCAAGACAAGAGTATGAGGAATTACAACAATGGACTAGACTAGGGAAGAGCTTTTAGAAACTCTTCACCTTTTTTCTTTTGGGTCGGGTCTTTTTTTGGACTTTGGTCATTTTGTGTTCTTTGTTGGGAAAATTTTCAAAACAGCAATATTTTATCATCTAATAGGACCCCTTGTCAACACTTTCAATATTTATTGAAAATGTCAATATTTTGGTTTGTTATAATGCTGACTATATTTATTTAATTTATTTAATTTGAAAGAATACAAATTTTTAATATTTAATAACAGAATGGAGAGAATCATGGGAGAAAAAATATTTCAAAAAAGGTAAAAATATTCCCTTAATTTTTTATCCTTACTTGTTTGAACTTTTTAAAATATGATTTTATCTGAAATGTATTCGGATGGACTTCTTTAAATATGATTTTGTGTGTCATTATTTTAAAATGTAATTGAAATATAAATTGCAAGTGATATTGAAAATACAAAATGAGCCAAATAAAATACAAATCTATTTACTAATAATAGTATGAATACGTATATAATGAATACGTAAATAAATTATATTTTGGCTATTTAGAATTGAAAATGAATACAAAATCAAATCTAAATACAAATTATCTGGTATACAAAGTGATATTGAAAATACAAAATGAACAAAATAAAATACAAAATCTGTTTTATTGATGCAATTAGGATGAATACCTATATAAAATAAATAAATTGTATTTTGGTTATTTAGAATTGAGAATGAATACGAAATCAAATATAAATACAAAACTTGATGGTATACCATTAGGACGAATACAAAATCAAATCTAAATACAAACTATTTGATATACAAAGTGATATTGTAAATACAAAATAAGCAAAATAAGATAAAAACTTTGTTTTACATATGCAATTAGGATGAATACATTAATAATGAATACATAAATAAACTGTATTTTGGTTATTTAGAATTGAGAATGAATGGACAATTAAGAACTTCTATCCGGCAATTGATTCATCAAGTTCTATGGATTCAAGAAGAGTCTTTCGGAACCATCCATACAGCGGCGGCAGCGGAGATCTGGAACCCGACAAGGAAACCGCCCGAGCCCTAAAACAAAATCACAAGAAAATCGAAAAAAATTATTTAAAAGACTAAAAATCTGAAATACATAAATAGTTGATGATTATCTAACCAAACTCACATTCTACTAAATCTGAAATATTAAAACAAAATCACAAGAAAATCAAAAAAATAAAATAAAAGACTAAAAATCTGAAACATATAAATATTTGATGATTATCTAACCATACTCACATAAAAATCGAAAAAATTGACGGGAAATCCGTAATATATAAAACCTGAAATACAAGATAATCGGTGATTTTAAAAACAAAATCAACATAAATATCACTAAATAATCGAAATTACCTTTAACAATTGAGATATTTTTTGAGTTAAGTTAGAGATTTGTTTAACAAATTAGGAGAATCATTCATAATTTGTATTTCTTGACCGGCAAAGAAATTTGAAGAAAGAGAAAATATAAAACTTGAATGATGGGGAAAAGAAACGTGAATGATGGGGAAAGAAATCGGTAGTTTTTTTTTCTTTTTTCTTTTTTATCTGTTATTGGATTAGAATTTGGTCTAATGATGGACTGATTTGTGGGGGGGGGGGGGGGGGGATGGTAAATAAATAATAATATTTGAATACAATTATTTTGTAAAGTATTGACATTTTGACATTTTGACATTTTAAATAAATATTTTAAAGTTTAGTTGTTTTGATTAATTATGTTAGGTATGTTGACTAGATTGCTATTTCTCCCTTCTTTGTTTCATGTTTTTTTGTAGTGGGCCATGCCTATTTAGGTTATTGATAAAAGGGTCTACGGACTAAAAATTCACTTTTAAAAAAATTGTTATAACAACTGCATATTCTTTTTGTTGACATGAAAATAACATAAATTAATTGTCCGAGCACTCATTCTTTCACTTCTAAGTTATCCCTTTGACGAAAAAAAATATTATTCACATTATCTTTCAATATACTTTACTTTAATTGAAAATCAATGTTTAGCTATAAAAATTTAAAATTTAATAATTTGACATATTGTAAGAAGTATAACTAACACAACTCCATCTTCATAAATTCAAATAAAATAATAAATAGTTAAAATAAATTAGGACTTTAAATGACAAACATTGAATCATAATTACTTACTTTTTTAAAAAAATAAAATGTTTTGCTGTTATTAATAAAGTATTACTGCATTTTCTATAAATAAATGAGTATAAACTATACTAAATAAGATTTAAATAATAATTTTATAAATATAAAAATAATATTATTAAACCAGTGCATATCACGTATACGTATACTATCAATAACTAGTTTACCACTTTACCTCCTTCATTGTAAAGAGGTCCGCAGACATTAATTGAAATAAGATGCAAGCAACTGGTTATTGACGTTGACTATACTTCGACCCTATTTGGCCTATGCTAAAAATTAAGGGGAAACTTTCACATATAGCCACTCAAAAATAGTCTAATTATTCTCCATAGCTATAGTTTGATAATTACAATTCGTAGCTACATGTTATATGGAGGAGAGAGGTGAGCGAGACTGGGAGAGAGAGAGGAGAGAGGCGAGAGAGAGGGGGAAAAGAGTGGAGAAAGGTGAATTGTATATGTATATAGGTTAAATAATTGTATATTATACATATATATTTGTATATATGGCAAGAGAGATTGGGAGAGGGAGGAGAGAGGCGAGCGAGATTGGGAGAGGGAGGAGAGAGGCGAGAAAGAGAGGGCAGAGAGGGAGAGAGAGGTGAATTGTATGTGTATATATGTTAGATAATTGTATATTATACATATGCAATTATATATATATCAAGCGAGATTGGGAGAGGGAGGAGAGAGGCGAGCGAGATTGGGAGAGAGAGGAGAGAAGCGAGCGAGAGAGGGCAGAGAGTGGGAGAGAGGTGAATTGTATATGTATATAGGTTAGATAATTGTATATTATACATATGTATTTGTATATTCTGACGAATTATACATATACAAACATGACTAATTATACAAACTCGAAGTCAACCCGCGTAATTAATGTATAATGTTAGTCGTAAGTGGTAATTATAGCAAACTATAGCTATGATGAGTAATTAAGTAGTATAAGTTTGCTTAATCGCGTAATTTCCCCAAAAATTAATATTGTGAGAAATAATTCAAATAAAATATTTAAATATTAGTATAACATTAACATGAAGATAATTAGACGTGTTTATTTTACAAGAATAAATTATATCTGCGGTATAAAATTCAAAAAATATTAAAGTACAGTTATATAATTGTAACAAGAATATAGAGCAAGTGTAATTTTAATTTTTATCATTTAAATGTATGATTAAGATCTCATTAAAAAGGAATGAATTGCTATACGTAGTAATCTAGAATTAATAAGGGATATATGGATAAATATGTATTTATAATAGAAATATTATTTTTTTGTCAAGAAACATAAAATTTTAAGTTATTTCTTAATGTGGAAAGCTCTACTATTTAAAAGCACTTTCACTTATGGACAAAACACCCTAAATTTCTTTTTTTTTTTAAATAAAAGAAAAATGTTTGGACCAAAGAGTACCTATACCAATATCAAAGTTGTACTAATTTATTGAGAAAATTCTATATAACAGTAAATTATATATAATAGCAAATTATTAATTCAAATTAAATGCTATAAATATAGTTTGATTTAATTGTACCTCATAGCAAACTGTTGCTATTTCGCCTCTCTCCTGGTGAATCTCGCTCGCCACTCTCGTTCTCTCCCTCGCCTCTCTCGCTTTTTATACAAACGCAAATGTATAAAATGTGTTTGTGTTTGTATAAAGCGAGAGAAAATTGCATATATACATATATTTTCGTTCCCCTCTCTCCCCTCTCCCAGATCTCGCTCGCCACTCTCCCAGATCTCGCTCGCTCACTCGCCTCTCTCACTTTATACAAAAACGCAAATGTATAAAATGCGTTTGTGTTTGTATAAAGCGAGAGAAAATTGCATATATACATATATTTTTGTTCCCCTCTCCCGGATCTCGCTCGCCACTCTCACAAATCTCGCTCGCTCACTCGCCTCTCTCACTTTATACAAACACAAATGTACACATTGTGTTTTGTTTGTATAAAGCGAGAGAAAATTGTATATATAAATACAAATGCATATATTTTTGTCTTATACACTTATGATTATACAAATACGATCTTCCCCTGCCCAGTTTTCTTTTGTCTTTCTCTCTTTCTCGTTTTATACAAACACAGATTATACAATTGATCTTTTGTATATGTATACCAAAGCAGATTATACAACTGTTTTCTTTTGTATATGCATAGCGAAATTATACAACTACTTTCTTTTGTATATGTATAGCGAAATATACATATTTATGTTTGATATGGAGCGCAATT